CTTTCGGCTACTACCTTTGACCTCTTTAGTAACTTCATCCCTGTTCTCTTCCTTCTCTTCTTCTTCTTCCTTTTCATCTTCCTCCATAGTTTCCTCAACTTCCTTCTTTTCCTCACTTTCCCGAGAAACGTCTTTCTCCAAACTCTCACTTCTTCTCCTCCTCTTTTCTTTCTCTGTTTCTCTTTATCGAACGAAACACCGGTTTGCTCTCGTCCAGCGTCTCCGTCTCCATAGAAACTGCCAATCAAACAACCAAAATTCTGGGACTTTACCTAAAACCCTATAATTGAAAGAGACTGGTGACAAGTCAACTGACAATCAGTACAGAGAAATGAAAAAAAAAAGATGGTTTTGGGCGCTTAATTGGATTTGGGCAAATGTAAATGCCTTTCATATAAGAATAATAATTAGATGGAAGTGGCAAGAACGAGCGGGGAATCAAAAACAAATTTTGGGAGTAAACAAGTTTCGGTTTTTTATGGACTTTGGGTTAGTTTTAGTAGGCTTTATTGTCTCAAACCCATTTATATCCTTTAGCAGTTCGGATATGTAAGGATCCGACAAACCCATATACTTCCCGAACCGGCCCGGACATTGACCTTGTTAATTGTTAATTATATAAATTTCAGTCTTTTCGTTTTGCTTCGTCGCTCTCTGTAGGGTTTTCCCCCGCCGTTCGTACTTAACCATAAAAGCTTGGAAGAAACCTGAAGAGACGCATAGAATGGTAAATCTGGAAACCCCATTTCCAATTCTTCAATTTCCTTCTTTTCAATTGCGCTCTTTATATGTATTTTCAATTTCTGATTGTTTTTTGCAGTTCCCTGGTATTGTATGAAATTAAGTTATTATAAACACTTGGTTTCAATAATATTCTGAAAATTCTAGGAAAAATGAGCTTTCAATCGGAAATGAACAGATCCGAGAAAGCTATTATTATTTTATCTGTTCGGGTTTGGTTGAATTTCTGATATGAATATGCTCGACAGTTTAAACAGATGAAGAGTTCTTGTAGCATAGATTATTGTATGGTAGTAAACAGTCATTACACGGAAGATTATCATAAGCCATAGTATAGCTAGAGAAATAATCTATAGATTGCTGAATAAGCTTTGAAGAAGCTTTAAGACTATAGGTTCTTTCAGTAATGAACTGCTGGTCACTCTACTGAAAATTTCAAATTCCCGATATTTTCTTTGTATTTTTATTGTTAATCTGTTTTCGCTCCCTAAAATATTTTAAGTTCACCCCTAACCTAAAATCTTGCGCCTTCCATGGGTTCTTTTCTGGAAGTTATTCTCGTAGATATCAAGTACAATAAGTAAACCTAGAAAAATTTATCTATTTTTTTAATTATTTTTTTACGAGTGATAATATAAGTTTCATGGTTTGAATTTGTTGATGTATTTTTGTACTTTTTTTAAAGCGTTCATCTTTGTGTTTTTGTTTTATTTGCTGTTAAATGCAGGCCCCTAAGCGAGGTGGAAAGGTGGCTGTCCCAGCCAAGAAGAAACAAGTAATTTTGATACTGTCTTAATCACCTGAACTCCTCAAATAACTTGATTGTGGTTTTACTAATGTTTTTTCTTTCTGAAATTAGGAGAAGGTTGTCAATCCATTGTTCGAGAAACGTCCAAAGCAGTTTGGTATTGGAGGGGCCCTACCTCCAAAGAAGGATCTGCATCGGTTCGTGAAGTGGCCTAAGGTTGTCCGCATTCAAAGGAAAAAGAGGATCCTCAAGCAGAGGTTGAAGGTCCCACCAGCATTGAACCAGTTTACCAAGACTCTTGATAAGAACCTTGGTACACTAAATCTTCACTTGTTTCTGTCCCTGTTTTATTCCCTTTCAGCTTTCTTGCCGTCCCCTTTCTGTTTTAAACAATCGGGAATAAACCTTGGTTCTTTTTTTTATTATCACAGCAACAAGTTTGTTCAAATTGCTCCTCAAGTACAGACCAGAGGACAAGGCAGCCAAGAAGGCATATGCTAAGTTGTTTAAATTAATGGCTGTTTTTACTATTCCTAATGCAGAACAAGGCTCAATTGGTTGTTATCGCTCATGATGTGGATCCGATAGAATTGGTCGTGTGGCTCCCTGCTTTGTGCAGAAAAATGGAGGTCCCTTACTGCATCGTTCAAGGGGAAATCACGTTTGGGATCGGTACTTTTCTTTCAGATTCATTTCCTTTTCTGCCCTTGATAGAATCAAGAGAGTTCACTTATTTGTTGTCTTCCTTCTGCAGATTGTCCACAAGAAAACTGCATCGTCTTGTGCTTGACCACAGTTAAGAACGAGGATAAGTTGGACTTCAGCAAAATCCTTGAAGCAATCAAGGTAAAATAACAACCCCAGAATATATTCTAGTTAATACATTATAAATCATATGATTAACTTGGCGCTTATATTGCAGGCAAACTTCAACGACAAGTACGACGAGTACAGGAAGAAGTGGGGTGGAGGTATCATGGGATCCAAGTCACAGGCCCGGACCAAGGCAAAGGAGAAGCTTCTTGCAAAGGAAGCTGCTCAGAGGATGACTTAAAAACACCATTGTTATCCTTCCAGTTGTACTCTTAGGTTCTGGGTTTTCTTCTTTTTTGATTAAATGGTCCTCTCCTCTGAATTAGATGCTGCAATCAAACTTTCGAACTCTATTTTCTCTTTTTCTTTTCATTTGTTACAGAGGAATATCTTGAGATTTCTAGTTGAACTTTCAAATTACCTTGTAGCTACTGTTTTTGATGAAGTTTTGCAGGCTTATACTTTATAATGAATACTATGGTGTCATTTAACTTTTCATTTACTGAAAAAAGTTTTGAGTAGTTTATGAATCAAATCAAATAAATTATTATTATTATTTATTTAGTACTGAAAAATTGTATAACTCAAATTTAACTTGGTCACAATCAATAAAGCTTGAAGTTGAGAATGAATTTAACATCATTCATATGTTTTATACTCCATCAATAATATAAAATCTTATATTTCGTGAATCAAACAAATATATCATATTACTACATCAAATTGTTGCCTACATATTCAAGGACACAAGAACTTAAAAACGCCTTTCTTTTATAGTTATGGCAACCTTTTCCAACATGCTGTATATCTGTTCCGAACAGGGATGCCTGCCATCACCAACCAAGAATTCATGTACAACGTTATCCACTTGAATCAAACTATGGCCGGGGTTCCTCAATATCGGCTTATTTTTCATAATCTCTCTAATCCTAGTCACATCACTCCACCGTTTCTTCGCAGCATAAATATTCGACGTAAGAACATAGTTCCATTATTTAATGGTTCTAAAACCATCAGCCGTTGCATTGCAGCCTCGGCTAGCTCGACATTGGCAGCAGCAGCACAGGCATTCAACAGAGTTCCCCGCAAAACCGCATTAGGTTCCATTGGCATGTTTATATCCTCATAAGCCTCATTCAAGGGTCCTGCCCTGCATAAAATGTCCACGAAGCATCCATAGTGCTTGATATTCGGCTCAATCCCAAAATCCCTTCTCATTGAATGAAGAATCTCCTTTCTTTTCTCCACCAACCCTGAATGACTGCAAGCAGACAAAACAGCAATTAACATGATCCGATCCGGCTTTATTCCTTCCCGTTGCATTTCCCTAAATCTTTCAATGGCTTCAATCCCATAACCATGCATTGCAAGTCCCCCAATCATGGCATTCCAAACACAAACGCCTTTACAAGGCAAAGTTTTAAAAACTTGATAAGCTTTGTCAATGTGACCACATTTAGCATACAAGTCAATAAGAGCAGCACCGAGCTTTGGATTAAAAAATATTCCCTTTTTATCAACATATTCATGCACTCATTGACCAATTTCCGATGCCCCCAAACCAAAGTCAATTCATTTATTCCAACCCCAGAATTCTTCATTTGATTAAACAATTCGACCCCTTCTTTATACCTCTTTTGCTTCACATATCCTGTTATAATCCAAGTAACCACATTTCTCTCAGTCATTCTATCGAACCACAACCGGGCGGATTCAACGTCACCAAAAGCACAATAAAATTTAGGGCGCTTAATTATGTGAAACGTCAACAACCACTAAACTAAATAATGGAAAACCTAATAGGATAAATTGCGAGTCTTCTAAATCCACCAAAGGTTTTCACATCCCAATCATTCTAATATATTACACCTTCTTCCATCTTATTTTCCACTTCCTCAATCAGTATTGCTGCATATTTCCTCAGATTTTGTTACTCTGCTATTGCAATCATGGATGGTTTTCATCGGCAAACACGAATATCCGACAAGGACACGGACATGGTGGGTGGCAGTTTTATGTTTAGATGTCTGGTTTGAGAAACATTTTTTTGTTCAACTGGTAAGCATATGTTTTGGGATGATAAAATCTTATATTCACCATGCTTTGCACCCATGAACACATATTACACAATCCAAGCAATGTGATTTTAACAAGCCTATATGAAGAGCATGACAGTGACTTCATCTTAATTAGTTTTTTTTTTTGCTCCCAATTAAATTCACAAACAAAAAATTTGAACCAGTTAATTCTTTGAACCGTAAATTTGAATAAATAAAACCTTTTTGATAAATTTTAATATTTTTTTTATGAAATATTACTATCAAATGAAATATTATGATTCTATTGCATCACCTTTTTAATGTATAATAGGATTTGATTGAATCATACCATTTTTATGAAAATTGTTAGAGAATTAAAATGATAATAAATTAAAAATTGGAGGTTAAATTGATGAAAATAATAAAGTGATCAAAACGAGAATTTCACCAAATCAAAGAGACTAAAATAGGTATTCAGCTTTTTTGTTTCTTAGAAAAAGGTTGGAGAGAAGTATGAACAAAAATGGTTTTGTTTTCTCTAATGGGAAAGGAGGGGCAAATAGGTAAGCAGCTGGCTCAAACGGGCGGGCTAAAAATGGTTTAATTTCGTTGAAGTGTTTTTATCATTTTGAAATTGCTAATTGATCCCTCAGTTAAACAAAAAGGGAGAAAAGTCACTTCTATTCAATTTGTAGGTCTCTTTAACTAAATCTCACATTCTAAAACTCACCAAGGATCCGGGAATGGAGAACAAGCCTCGTCATGACCCGAATCCGGACTCAAGTCGACCCGAAGAACCAGAGCTCGACCTCTACACCATTCCAAGACACTCCAGTAAGTCCCTCGTTAATTACTTGATTAATTCCCCAAAACCCTAAAAAATCCCATTACTTTCTTCTTCAACTTCTTTGTATAGGTTGGTTTGCTTGGAACGATATTCACGAAACAGAGAGGCAAGCATTGAAAGAATTCTTCGAAGGAAGCTCAATCTCGAGAACCCCCAAAATCTACAAAGAGTTCAGGGATTTTATCATCAACAAGTACCGGGAAGACCCTTCTCGCCGTCTCACCTTCACCGAAATCCGCAAATCCCTCATCGGCGACGTCACTTTGCTCCACAAGGTCTTCCTCTTCTTGGAAACCTGGGGTTTGATCAATTCCGTCGCCCCGTCTCCCCCCGCGAAGGTTCCGAGAACGATGATAGGGTTCGGGTCGAAAACGGGGCTCCTAATGGAGTCCGGGTCGTGGCCAATCCCAATTCATTGCGGCCGCTTACGGCGCCGATTGTTAAGGGGACGAACAGTGGTGATGGGATTGAAGGCAGTGGAGTCAAGCTGCCTCCCTTGGCTTCCTACTCTGATGTTTTTGGTTATTTGAAGAAGCTACATTGTGCTAATTGTGGAGATAATTGTGATTCTGGGTACTATGAATATAAAAAGGTAATTCCTTTTTTTTCTCCTTAAAAGATAAGTTGAAAGATAGTTTGGTCTTTAAATTTTGTTTAAAATTGTTTTTATCTCTGAATTATGCCGAAGAACAATAGTTTGCTTATGTGGAATTTCTTCTTAGCATTTGATATGAGGGTTCGAGTTCTCTAAGTAAATGGTTCTGTAGCTGTAATCCATATGTTTCATTTTCTAAACTTGGTCTCTTTTACAAGCTTTATCAGATACATTTCTTCATCAAATTCAGGTTTGATTTGTCATACCCTATGGAGTTTAGTTGAGTGCCAATGTGTGTATGCATGTATGTTTATATGTGTAAATATATTATCTCTATGTGTGTTGTTGTAATTACCTGCACAAAACTGAAGCCATGTAGTCAGCTTGATTTTGCTGTGGTGTCGACTGATACATGTATTGCATCTTCAGGATAATTTTGTCGTTTGCGCTAAATGCTTCAAAAGTGGAAATTATGGGGAAGATAAATCTATGGGGGATTTCGAGTTGAAAGATTGCAGTGAGACGAGTGAGACCAATGGTGCTGTGTGGACTGAAGCGGAAACTCTTCTTCTTTTGGATTCTGTACTGAAGCATGGGGATGACTGGGATCTTGTTGCTCAGAATGTTCAAACCAAGTCTAAACTTGATTGTATTACAAAGCTCATTGAGCTGCCTTTTGGCGAGTCCTTGATATATTCGACCAAGGGAAGGGGCAATCCCAGCAGTATGAGTATGAATGTAAATGGCGTAAAATCAGATCCTGTTCATTCATCCGAGCGTCAAGAGAACATTATAAATGAGGATCAAGGTTATGATGGCACAAATGAGAACGAAGAGAATGGGGATTCTGAGAATCAAGAGCCTCCTTTGAAGAAAAAACGCACTGCTTCCATTCTAGATGCTGGTAGTTCTCTCATGAAGCAGGTAAGAGACTTCGCTTTAGAAACTTGTACCAGGCTATCTTACTAATACTTGACGTCTTCATTTTATATGATTTTATCCTTTCCTCTTATATTCTAAGCTTGTTGCATGTATAAATACATGCATTCTTTAAAGATTTTGATTATACATAATTGATCGCTTTTCCTACAGGTTGCTCGCATCTCTACCATGGTTGAGCCTCAAATCACTGCTGCTGCAGCTGAAGCTGCAGTTGTGATGCTTTCCGATGAAATGTCATGTCCAAGGGAAATATTTGATGGTGATCAGATTGATTTAACTAATGGGTCACTATCCCCTACTTTAAGGTTGTTCAAAAGTTGATATTGTTAATCTTACTTATCTTTCCCTTTGCACCTTAATTTACTGTTAGCTTTTGCATCATTCTGGTGTTTTGATGTGTTTGATCTTTTATATGTTTTAGAGCTCATGATATCGAAGCATCAGAGATAAAGGAGAGATCTAGTATATCAGGTATATATACTTTTTTGAATTTAGTTCTGCAACATCATTTGGCTGTTTTGGTTGTAGAACCAGATCATGGGATCAAAAGTATATGTTATTCATATTGCTTCTTGCCAGCTTTTTCTTTATGATATCTTCTCGGGTTTTCGTATGATTTGTGCTTTACTTTTGATCTTATGCATGTTTATATTGGAGTTCTCCATTCCAAATCATTATTAGAATTTATAAGAAAATACTCGTGCAGAATTTCAAGACATACATCCGAAGAAGAATGATGTACCTTTACCATTGCGAATCAGAGCGGCAGTTGCAACAGGTCTCGGAGCAGCCGCTGCTCGTGCCAAATTGTTAGCCGAGCAGGAAGAGAGGGAGATTGAACATTTAGTTGCAACCATAATCGAAGCACAAGTGCGTCAAACATACCTGTTCCATTTCCATTCTTCACTTGATGTTTATTATGATGCTATTCAATTTATCCATAACACATGCCTAATATTCGTCCTTAACTCGAATATAGTTAAAGAAGTTGCAATCTAAAATGAAGCATTGCGATGATGCGGAGGTGCTAATGGAGAAGGAATATGATGCAATCGAGGAACTCAAAGAGCACATTCTCGGAGAGCGGATTAATACCTTACGAATGACGTATAATACGGGTACGTCTAAATTGTTAGAGCACAGTTCTGTACAATCACAAACCAGAAACTTAAGTTAACTGTGTTTTAGATGAATGTAGTGAAGCAACAGATGCCATTAACATCGGAATTTAGGATGCTTTTGATTATTACCGTTAAAACCTCGATTCAGTAACAATGTAGTTACATATCTTTCCTTTATTGTTGTTGGTGGGAATTCAGGGCAGTTAAATAACAACATTTGTAAGATTATTTAAGGTGTTTAAACTTCATAATTTGGTGGTTTTCTATAAACTAGAATCCATATCTACTTAATTATTTAGTAAAATTCGGGAAATTACATGGGTGATCACTTTTGTTTTTAGTTTGTCTTATTTTGATCACTGATTTTGAAAAAGTTACGTTCTAATCATTTTTATTTTCAATATGTCTTATTTTGACAACTAAGGTGTTAACTCTTGTTAGTTAACATTTACTATTGTTAGTTTGATAACGTGTCACATTAGTAAAAAGAGTTAATTTTGGGTTTTAGATAAAACACTAATTTAACCCCTAAATTTTAGAGAATATATCAATTTGACCTTTGAATCTAGCCACAGTCACCCGTTGTTGCTCACCACCATTAGCAGTCATCATTAACGACCATTGGACCTCAAAACTTTAAGTTCACTCATTTTTGGTTTTTTTAACGTGAATTCGATGTTTATTTCACTACAAAAAATATTTTGAACTCTATAAATTTAATTTAAAATCTTTTAAAAAAATTTAATATATGATAATGATAAATTATCATTAATATTCTTTAAAAAGTAAAGACGCCAAAAGTATCATAATTAAATTTGTATCACAATCAAAATCATATTTTTTTATACAACATGTAACTTTCAATTGTGGAGAAGGCATATTGCGGCTGATGCACAAGCACTGCAACTTTCAACTGCATCAATATTTTCAATCAAAAACTTCAAATTTTGTGAATTGAAGATGGACCTTATTTGCTTGAAAGATAATTTCAGTGGAGATGTGAAATCCTTGGATATATCTCTACTCTTCATTGTTTCTTGTAAACTGTAAATGGAGGAAATGTATATTAATAACTTACCTTTTGCTTCTCTCATTGTAAAAGTCGTAACTTAAAATAAAAATAGGTAAATTGTACATTTAGCACTTAAAATATTATTTTTGTTCTGTTTTGGTACCTATTTTTTTAAAAAAAAAATACTTAACGTTTAGTTTAGGTTTCAATTTGGTATCTCATTGTTAAAAAAATATCAAAATTGTTGATGTGATATTTTTTTATTAATTTTTAATGATGATGTGACATTATCTTATGGTGACATGTCAACATCACCGTTAAGTTTTTAATAGTGTAATACCAAATTAAAACCTAAACTATAAATATTAGGTATGATTTAAAAAAAATTGGGTACCAAATTAAAACAAAAGTAATAATTTAAATACTAAATGTGTAGTTTTTGATGCTACTGCAAGTTCCATGGCCGCTGAAACCACTGATTGTTGGTCTAAGGATAAGATTGCATGAAATTCATGTAAACTAAAAAGTACTATTCTGATAACAAAACAATCAAACAAAGCAGCCAGCAGCTCCATTAAGTTACAGAAAAGATATTATAACTCAAGAGGTTCACTGCTTCGGATTATCGAAAATGTTGGATACAAGTGTATGTCTAATACGGATATATTCGGAAGACCTATTACTCACTACTTTTACTTGAACTGATAATGTAGCTTCAAGCCTCCTTTGCCTGTTGACCCTTGCAATGAAATCATCCGCTCTTTTCTTCAATTCCTCAGTAGGCAAAACAACTTCATGTTCTCCCTGCAACTCTTTCTTTTCCTTCTTTAGTACTTCTCTAGTACGATCCTCAACTTGGAAACTCCTCGTCACCGTCACGTTCTCTTCGCAATGCTTCATTTTCATCTCTCTTTTCACTTCGAGGATCGAATCGTTTCCGGGGCTTGGACTCCGATGATCGGCGTACTCGTCGTAGTACACGTCGCCGGAACCTGAAAAATGAGCAAAAAACTTGGATTCTCCTATGAGAACCGCGACGATAAGGTTGCCTAGAAGGAACAATAGTTTAGGGTTGTACACGATTGAACCCATTTTTGTTGAAGAAACGAAAAGAAAGTTCTTGAACGAGGAAAACAAGCAAGGGAGGAAGGAACAAGTGAATGCTATGAATGTGTAGAGTAAAACCTTGTCCAGAAACTGCTGCATCTTGGATTTCTTGATGGCTTGAAACTTTAGCATTGGGTTATGATCCATTGTTTTCTGGTTAGAAAATGATGACCCTAAACCAATTGGAATCATTGCATTATATGGTTGGGGGGGTGGGAATGGGTTAAGAAATCCGCATGTTTCATTCTCTTCTTTTTTGCTTTTTTGTGGAGTGGTGGATGATTACTTTCTGAAAAGGTGTCGGAGGTTTATCGGTGTTTATGCTGTATGTTACTCGAATTCGAATATGTATAAATAATTAATATTTTCAATCTTCCACGCTTACTTAGGATAAAGGAAAACATGTACATTCCCATATAGTTGATTCATACTTTTATTTTCCAGTCCAATGCATCTTCAGCTTTTCCTTCAATAATTTCTGTTAGTGTAAATGTGACAGATTCCTTCATCTGCAATTGTGACTGATTGCGGAATCAGAAATGTGGCACTATACTCAGTGGCGGATCCAGAAATTTATAAATGAGATCAAAATTTTAATTTTCTTTTATAAAAAATAACGGGTGCAATTTTTTTTTTTCCAATTTTTTAACATGTTATACTAAATTTCACTTTTTTCCTTAAATAATGGGTATGCACTTGACCCTAGGACTTAGTGCATCCGCCCCTGACTATACTCTGTTATAGATTTAATTATATTGTTTTTATATTAACTGAATCATGATTGAAATTTTAAACTGTAAAAATGCATAGACTAAAATTAACCAAAATACTATACACGTACTAAATTCATTGTTCATATTTAGTACATGTATTAATCATAAATTTCAATTATATTTATCCATCTATTTATACTTTTATGTTAGAAAGGAAGGAGGTTTGATTCCTTGGATAGAAGAAAGCATAATAATAAAAGTATACCAGTATCGTAAAAACTATTACTTTGCTCTTTACTCTTCTTTTAGAGTATTTTAATTTTGAACATGTTGAATGAGAACAATTAATTGACTAATGGTCAATATATGTTATTGGCGTGATATGTGTTGTATTATTCAAAGTAATGACATGACATGACATGTGGTATGTTATAAAATGATGAATGTCACCAAAATAAAAACGTGACATGTGTTACATCAACAATCGAATACATATAGAAATATCATGTCAGCAACATGTGTTAATCGTTAGTCAATTAAATTTTTATTTAACAAATGTTGTTTTGATCGAAATTTGAAATATCATCATTTAAAATACTAAAAAATAAGAAACAAATTCATTATTTGTGCATGTAATTTTATCATTACGACGAAAAAGAATCCAGATATGGGATAACTCATAGCGTGGATGGATATTCTGACTCACTGCATATGAAGTGGTAAATCTCATTGGTTTCCTTCGTATCAGTGTTTCTATGACACTTCAACTTGGGGTAGGAAAGGGAGACCTGACTCACTGCTCAACTCAGATTTTCATTTAATTAATAAATTATTAACAAGTTGGAAGTAGATGCGATGTTGAAGTATAATCAGAAACAGTCTTTATGGTTTAATAAATAAATAATTATATAAGCAATCGAGATTTCTTGCATTAAGCATGTGAAGAAGGTATTACCAATTTATTTATTTATTTTCAATAAAGTTGGTGTTTTCCAAACCAACCTGTCTTCTCCACTGAAAACGAAATTTCCTCTATCGATGTCTGTATATATAAAATAGTGAAGACGTTGAAACATTTCATTTCGTGGGGTATCTATGGGCGGATGCGGATTTGTATGCTAAACCAAACATACGAGAATGCTCGTATAAAGATGTATCCACTTGCAAACATTTACATAATACCGATTAGGATGGAAATATACCCGGCTAATGAATGAAGGTTTGAGAGCAAAGTCCAGAAACGACCCATGAGGAAAGAGTGTGTGAAGTAAGATAGAAGAATGAGAAAACGGTTGTGTTTGTTGTTGGTTGAGATCTGAAGACAAAAGGATTTTATAGACAGAACCATGTGGGGACAGAATACCAGGTGGCAAGAACAGAAGGGGTATCGGGTTCTGCCTTGAACCTGTGGGAATAGATTATGCACCGTCCAGATAAAGAGATTTAATGATCATTAATCCTACTATTCAATTAAAATTTCAATGATAAAAATAGGTCAAAGGTCTTGAATTCGATCAATAATATTTATAGAATGTGTACGTTACTCTATTTAGATGTTCTTGTAATCATACCAAATTATTCACACAGAAAAAAAAAACTTATTTTATTATGCTTAGATGTTTTTTTTTGAATTATCAAATTGAAAGTGTTGGATGTAAGACCGTAAATGAGACAATGCATATCGTGAGTTATTCAAGTTTAATTCGGTCAAAGTTTGATGTATCCTTGAATTAAATCGGAATTAATTTTAATTTTTTTCTAATAGAATCAAATTTGAAAATACTTCAACTGAAATCATCTCGTTTTTCGTTCTAATCGGATGATTAAAGGTATTGTCTCTTCCTTCCTTTGTTGGACTTGGAGTCTCTGGGTCACGCAGTTCCGTGTTTGTTAATGCTTGGAGCTTTCGATGGGAATGAAGCAAACGAGGAAGCCTGCAGCTGCAAGTAGAGACTATAAAGTTGGTTTCGTTTCAGAGCCAAGTTAGAAAATGAGAAATATAAATCAAATTTAAATTATATTCTTCTATGGAAGTTCAAATATAATTTTATTTTTATTTTGACTTTTGATTATAGTTTTGAAATATTAAATCAATTTTTTAATATTTTAAAAATTAAAATATATGTATTTATGTATTAATTTGTAAATCGATAATTTTTAAAAAGAACTTTTGCACAATTTTATCAGTTTAGGGGGCATGAGATATATAAATAATCCTTCAATTATAAGATTTTTATTAGTTTTTTTTATTATTGAATCTTTCAATTAAAAAATGATCGTTTAATTTTAAAATGATTTTAGAATAATTTTAAAATGAATTAATTAAGAGTAACATACCTCTATAA